CCCCCCCCTCGTGGATAAATTGTCGACCCGCTCGCTCGCCGCCGTTGCACCTACGTCTTTCCCTCCCGAGTGCTTTTCCTTCAACGACGAGCCATGTTGCCCTTGAAGGAAGCCACTGTTGTCGTTGTCTTTGCTGCATACTGCTGTCGCTAATGTTGCTGCTACCGCTGCTGCTGCTGCTGCTGCTGCTGCTGCTGATGATGATGATGATGATGATGATGATGATTATGATGACGGGTTGTTCGCGAGCAGGTTATCGACGAGGCGATGGTAGAGCACCGCATGGCGGAGCAGAGACGCCTGCGGCCCAACGACGGCGAGTTCTACATCATGGAGCTGGGCCAGTCACTCTTCGTTGACGCCAAGGAGAAGGGAAACCTCATGCGCCTCATCAACCATAGGTACGCGCACGTGCGGGATTGGTAGTGATGGTCGTGGGAGTGCTGGGGGTTGCGATGTTGACTAGCTTGTTGTTGGTTTGTGATGCCTGTGGCTGTGGTGTTGGACTGTTGTTGTTGGGAGCACATGATGTTTTCTGCTAATTTTGATGTTGCTGGTATTGACTGGTGATGTTGGTTTAGGCATGGAGGTGTTGGTGGTGTTCCTGTAGGTGATGGAGTTGGGCGTTCGTTGTCTCCGCGAACTGGTGCTACTTTCACTGCCCCCCCCCCCCCCCCCCCCCCCCCCCCCCCCCCCCCCCCCCCNCCCCCCGCCAAGTGCACAGTGCGAGTGAGTGGATCGTGAGCTTCGATCGTCCCTCTCGCTTCGCCTTTCAAGCCGCAGCTACGCCATGATACGGGAGCTGTCGGAATGTCTACACACGTTGCGACTGCTTCTACCCGCCATCACGGCTCCTGAACGTTTTATCTCATCCTCTCGTCTGTGTCTATTCGTTTGCGAATAGATACACATGCAGAACTTGTGGATGTCCCCCCTCTCCAGTTTCTTAACGTTTTTTGCGTGACTTGTGGATAGCCGCACAATCACACGGAGAACCTTTCGACAGTTTCCACCCCCCAACCCCCGCCTGTGCGCGTGTCGGTCCTTTGGTTGTCGTGTTTGTAGCTGCAACCCAAACTGCGACGTGCAGGCGTGGAACATCGCGGGCTACACGAGACTGGGCATCTACGCAAAGAAAGACCTGGCCAAGGGGGAAAGCCTCTCCTATGACTACAAGGCAAGCTAAATTAGCTCGCCTTGTACCCAGAAGTAGCAACCTTGGAAGTTATCGAACTTGTTCGACGTGCACGTTCAGAGGCCGTCCGTCAACAACCGAAGTATCTGCCTCAACAACAATATACATGGGAGAAGGTCGCGTTTTTTTTTTCGAGGAAAGGTCGTTATATGTCTCGTCTGTGGGCTCTCGCCCTTGTCCACCTGATCTTCGAGAAACAGGAATTCTTGTTTTTGAGACTTTCATTAGTTGCGAGCGTTGTGTTCCCACTTTGTTGTGGAACCGCTTTCATTATTGCTGGTGTTGCTTATGCGAGTGATCTTGTTTGGGCTCTTTTTGATGTTTTCTAGCACCCCACATGAGTGTTGTTACCTCTGTGTTATTACACCGCCTTCTATGGCAGCACAATGTTGCAAAAAAAGGTGCATCTCTGCAACTTTTCTTGCAGCTTTGCTAATTAATGTACACTCAGTGTGGGAGCTAGAAGTTGCACGAAAAGTTCTGCAACTTTTTTTCCGGAGCGAAAAGCTGCAATCTGGCCGAAAAGTTTTGCAGCTCATCTCGAGTCGGGAAGGGGCGAGAAAAACTGCACGGCGGAAATAATACCCATTCACGTCAAGCTGCTACCCCTTCCGCACACGTAGACCCTCTCCAGCATTGATTGTGGGAAGGCTGTGATCACCGATATCTCGACGAATACTGAACGAGTTGCCTCATGAATGGTATCTGGAAGGAGGTGATGCCATGGGCTGTTGGGCAATGCCAAAGTTTGGGGGCGTGAGGTGCTGAATGCGCCGGGAAAAAAGTTTGTGCTGTGCACAACCGTCGACGGCAGCGAGCGGTTAGTTCAAGCTCGATGTTTTCGACCGACACGGGTTTGGTTATCCACTATCCACCGATAACTTTCCGAAGGCGGAAGCAACAGCAATAGCAAGGCCGCTCGGTGGGAGGTAGCTCTCTGCTCCATCTTCAATGCCCAAGGTTTGATGCCGTGAGGTATGGTGCGCATCGGGGAAAAAGTTTTGATCGACCCTACAGCAGCACCCACGTCAGAGAGCGGTTAGTTCGAGTTCGCAGGGATTATGTGCGCGTGGATTGGTTTTCCAGCGATGACTTTTGGAAGGGGAAGGCAACAGCAACAGCAATGCCACCCCGAGGGAGCTAGCTCTACCCAGCATCTCTCTGGTACCAGGTTAGATGCCTTGGGGTATCTTGAGTGTGGAAAAAAAAGGTTGCATCTTCCCTCTCCCACATGCTCTTGACCGGTTCTTTCGCGGTGCAATATGAAAGGCGCGTGCCTTCTTCTCGCCGTTATGAAAAAAAAACAAAAACACGCCTCCCCTCCGCATTCCGCCAGTCCCGTGCGCAAAGTATTTCTTCGTCCCGTAAAGAGCGTGCATCAAAAGTTCCATTGACAAAGTTTGGAAGAAAAGCTGCAGNCTCTGGTACCAGGTTAGATGCCTTGGGGTATCTTGAGTGTGGAAAAAAAAGGTTGCATCTTCCCTCTCCCACATGCTCTTGACCGGTTCTTTCGCGGTGCAATATGAAAGGCGCGTGCCTTCTTCTCGCCGTTATGAAAAAAAAACAAAAACACGCCTCCCCTCCGCATTCCGCCAGTCCCGTGCGCAAAGTATTTCTTCGTCCCGTAAAGAGCGTGCATCAAAAGTTCCATTGACAAAGTTTGGAAGAAAAGCTGCAGGAAAAGTTTGCAGTTTTTCTTGCAACATTGTGCTGCCATAAAAAGCGGTGTGAAGCCTCCACATATAATGTTAAGCTTGTTGCTTTTGCGTGTTACGGTGTACGCTCAATGGGTACCGCAAGAAACGAGTAGCGTGCCCCCAAACCTACCCCACGCGCCCGGCACACGTCCCATCCACTCGCTTTTTGTTGTGTCGTCAGTTGCCCATGTTTTTTTGTTGTGTGTTTTTTCCCTTTTTTTTGTTTGCGATTTTCGCAGTTTTCCACGAACGAAAAAGCCCGGTTCAAGTGCATGTGCGGTGCCAAGAACTGCCGGGGCACGCTGGCTCCTAAGAAGCAGGAGGAGGAGATCACCGAGGACGTGAGTAGCCTGACGTCAACAACGATCAACGCACTCCGTCTTTTTTTTTTCAAGTCCACGGTGTGGCCTGACGTGAACAACGAAAAACGAACTCTATCCGTCAATGTTTTTTTTCTTCTCTTTTTTTGTATGTTGGGTACAGCCTGTCTTCCCCTCCTTCAGATACAACTGGAAGGAGGGGGAGGCGAGGAGGAAGAGATAGTCGAGAGAGCGACTGATTGTTGCTGTGGTCACCGATAAAGTTGTGACATGTACCGACGCCTCTCCCTCCTTCGAAGTCGGAGCAAAGTGTCAGGGTGTACAAGTACACAGCGGCTGACCCCCCACACACACGTCCCGGGTACTCGCTGGTACCTTTTGGCCACTTGACAGGGCTCGAAGCTTAAGGGCAAAGCACGAAAGGAGATGCTGCAGAAGAGAGAGAGGATGGCGAAGAACCGCCAGGCAAGGAGCCAGGTGGGGCAGCTGGTTACCTGCAAGCGCCTGTCGCTGACGGGCAGGGTGCTGCCGGGGGACAGGACGGCTGAGGTCAAGGCCGGCCCTCCCGCAAAGTACTTCGGTTTCGCGAGGGTAAGTAGTACTTCGAAGTTGTCGTTGTTGTTGATGTCCTCCTCTTCCTCGTCGTCATGGTTGGCCGCAGTTACTGCTTGTTGGTTGTTGTCGTCGTCGTCTTGATATGGCATGATCGACACCACCACCGCAACCAACATTACCAACCACCATGGTGTGATTTCGTCCCGTCTATGTACAAGATGTAGTGGGCGCCAGTCTACACTGCTGTTCGGATTGTATTCGGCGCATCAGCTGGGGTCGTAGTTGCTTAGTGTATTTTCGACGAGCAACTGCTGTAATTTTCACTACTTGTAAGACCCCTCCCGCCGCCCGCCCATTCACCTCCCCCCCGGTGTTTGCCATCGGGGTTGGGCTTTCGTCGCTTGGCAACGACGTTGTAAAACAAGCCAATTCACTTCGTGAAGTCGGCAACCAGGTTACCGGTTTATTTTTTTCACCTTTTTTTGTTTTGGCGATAACCATAATGGTGGTCGAGTAGATCATGTTGTGCGGGGTGGAGAACCCTCACTCCGCGCAAGGGGGATGATCGCACCACGTTGTGTTAAAATGGTCAAGCACCCTCGAGGCAGTTACACAGTGCTTATACTGTCTCTGGACGTGAAAACACCAGAATATATGTAAAGTCATACGCAGCTGTCATCCGCATGCAAGGAAGCAAGCACAAGATGGCGAACACCGTTAGCAGGATGCAGCGCACCCTTCATGCGACTCGCCGAATACCTCACGGCGCTTCGCGCTTGGTGATGTGAGAGCCTGGTCCGGTGAGAACCCGGCGTGCTCCGTCCCGGCTTTGTAGGGATGCGAGGTCAATGGTCTAACGACTANCCCCTTCGCTTTTTCCTTTCAGGACCAAGGCATCTTTCTCGTCCGCAACGCGCGAGCGGGGGCCGACCTACTTACCCGCAAGCGTCTGCTGGCGACCAAGGCCGAGGTATACGCCCGGAAGGCAGCTCTCCTCGCCCCTCCTCCTCCGCCACCCCAGTCACCGTCGCCGAACGCCTCCGCTGTCGGCACCGGCACCGGCGGCGGCGGCGGCGGCGGCGGCGGCGGCGCTTCGGGGTGGAACCCCGCCGTCGTTGCCGCTGGTGTGACCTCCTCGGGGAGACGCGGAAGGTCGGGTGGGGCGGCGGCCGCGGAGAAAGGCCTGGAGAGATTTTCCGTTGCTGCTGAACCGAGCGTATTGGCGGCCGCCGCAGCGCCCGTAGCAGCTGGAGGCGTGGGGGCGGGTGAAGAGCCGCCGGTTTCGAACGCGCCCCCGACACCCGAGCCCGCCGCCGCGATGCCGTCCTCCAGGCGGTCGCCCGCGAGGCATTCTTCTTCTTCGGTGGCGGCGGTGGAGGCGGCGTCACCGTCTGTAACGGCAATCGCGAGCACCTTGCCGTTGTCGCCCGGAGATGCGGTGGCGGCAACGCCCCGTTCCTCGGGTGAGGGGGGTCCGTCAAGTCGCAAGGGGGGTAGTGGTACCCCTGTAGGAAGAAGAGCACGGGCGGCAGCGGCGGCGATTTCGTCTTCTTCCCCCGGCTCGGCCAAGAAGAGGGGGAGGGATGCGAGCGCCGCTTCCCCGGTGTCTGCGAGCAAGAGGGCTCGCACCAGCCGGTAGTTCCGTAGCGTTGGACGATACACACTTAACATGGGTTCGCTAGTGAGCACCCGCACAGGAATGCGGAGGCTTGGTGTTTCGTCGAACGCGCGTGCGTGTGTGTGTGTGTCTTTATTTTTAGCATCGGCCGCGCTAATCGGCTGACCAACGAAAAGACGTCAGTCTCAGTGCGGTTGAAAACACTAAACGCTTGTAAATGGCAATGACTGGGACCCCGTGAGGGGGCGGCATGGGGCAGGCTACGGGTGTGTGTGCCAGTGCTGCTCTTACAGCCGTGAACGCGTAGACATAAGGAGTCGCCGACCTCACCTCGCGATCGGCGGGCGTCCTACCGCGCGGTGTGCGTACATTAAAAAGTATACAGCAGACACTGCTGTGCTTCCTCTCGGTTCAGGTCGACTGGTGAACCATGGGGGGTGGGATTGGTCGTGCTTGTGACCGAGGGGCCGAAAGCTCTTGATGGGTACTCATTGCTGGCAAACCGGCATGTTGGGGTCACAGCCACACTCAGGCTTTTGATGTCGGGGCCATGAGGGGGGTGAACGACGATATGACCTGGTGCTCGTCGGGAATGTGTTTCGGCGGCACGATATTAGAGAAAAGGAGTATCTTCCCAGGTGGGATTACATTGGCGGTTTCAAGAAAATGCCGGAGACATGTTAGCTCTGGTAGAAAGATGGCGAGAGCCACCAAATCGCCCGCAGGGAATTGGCGGTAGGGTGCGATGCCGTCGTCCTAGGCTACTCGCGCTGTGCAAAAATATTTGTGTTTGGCGATTACCTGTCTCTGGGGCTCTTGCCCAAGAACTTGGAAGGTGGATTTGTCCCCGCGACAAAGAGATGAAGGAAAGGAAGCGTTAGATACGAGTGTGTCTACGACGGAGCTGACCTGGGTTACAACCGATCCAAGCTGATGTGTGTCCCTGCCGTGAATGCGTTTGTTTCGTTGTGTTGCACAGACTCAACACCTCAAAATTAATGGCATGTTTTACCGTGTGACCTCATTCACCAGACGAATCACGGGTTGTGCCGCTTGCATTATTGTTCTTTCGGAAGTGTGATCGCCAAGGATCCTCGGAATCCCTATCGATGCTCGTGTGAAGATGGTCGAGCTTGCATGAAGCTGACACGACAAGCTTCCCGTGTGATCCTGGCCAAGCCTGGATAAAGCTCGCACGACCGGGAGATTTCCGGTGCACCGGCGTCCATCAAAACATTTTTTTCCTGGTGTCGTGATTCATTTATCGTCCATCAAACCTCAAAAACTCGACAAGACCTCCCCTGCTTCACGAGAGTCCGCACGCCGCAAAGCAACAGCTCCGCTTCGTACGGCGCGCACAGCGTCAACAACTTCCTGCGAAAAGTTTAAAGCAAAGTCGGTCGCTGAAAAACACTCTCACGTCCTACACAAACTCAGAGCCATCTCCCTAAAATTCCTTTAAACGTCAAGCTGTCGCTTAGCCGGCGACTCAGAAGATCAAAGACGAGCACTTTTGTCAAACCCCGCGGTTTTCAAGTTTTGACGACAAGTTTCTACACGAAGAATCCTCTCACAAAAGCGACGCAAACACTTGGCACCAACAAAGCATCCCAAAACCTTCGCTTCGCCCCAAATGAGAGAAATTTCCTCGAAACTTTTTCTCAGAAGCGGAGCTTCTCGAAGAAGTACTTGACGCCGGTGGCCTTCTTCTCGGACTTGACGTCCTTCTGGTTCAGGTACCGCTCCTCGAAGATCTTCCTCACCGCCTTGCGAACGTCCGTGGGGGAGGCCTTGATGGCAGACTCATCCACGACCTTCTTGAGGTCGATGTCCACCTGGTACCTGATCGATCCGTCAAGCGGGCGGCAAGGGAGGGGCAGCGGCATCATCGCAATCTGCTTTGTTCCGTGAGACTCCTTTTCTACCCCTGAACGGGCAGTGAGCGCCTTGTGCCGGTTTTCGGTAGATTGCGGGTGTGGGCACCTCTCGGCTTCTACATGCATGCCCTTGAAGACATTCCATGGGCACATCCACTTTGGAAGTACAACACAGAAGTAAGGAGACGGGGACACAGTACTAGGAGAGGAGTGCCAGGAGTGGCTTTGGAGGAGGGGGGGGCGGGGGGCAAGAAGGGCACGATGCAAGTGACATGGACCACGCACACGTACCCTCTGTGGCCATCACTAGACACCCCGAAAATCGGGATTCACGTGCCAAGACGGGTGTGTTGTGTTTTGAGTGCATGCTTCTCTATCGCGAAACAAAGAAGTACTGGGCGAAGAGAGACAACGGTCCAGCATAATCGATAATGATACTGGATTCGCGAGCGCAACAACACTAAGACTGACATCGCTTGACTGGCGGCAGCACTCGAAAATGATCAACAAGGGTCTCTGGATATGCTGGAAAAGTTCTTTTCCAGCGGTCGAGCCGTTCCGGCTCGCCGGGACGACACAGATGTGCTCCTTTACGTGTGCTCATAGCATAGGCGCCCAAGATGTATATTCGAACAATCAAACGTGCCTGCAAGCATCTATCTCTCCGACCGTATCGCCCAACGCGAAGCGACATAACCGACGAGTCCTAGATGGAGGCAAAAGACATACCCCCGCCCTAACTGGTTCACCCCCCCCGGTGTTTACCATCGGGGTTGGGTTTTCGTCGCTTGGCAACGACGTTGTAAAACAA